TCACGGTGTATAATTTACCTTTTCATCATTACTGTTTCATTAGAAACACCGACGCAGCTCACACTAGTTTTTAGCTAGTTATATCTTTTTATTGTGGTGTGGACTATTTTGGTCCATTTACCATAAAGGAAGGAGGAAAGGAACTCAAACGGTATGGCGTCTTGTTTACATGTATGGCATCACGGGCCATACATCTCGAGGCTGCAGCATCCTTGTCCACTGACTCATTTATAAACGCACTCAGGCGTTTCCTTTCAGAACGTGGTCCAGCACGCCAGATACGCTCAGACTGTGGCACCAACTTTGTCGGAGCCAGAAATGAGCTGAAAGAAGCATTAGATGAAAGCAAGGTACGCACCATGTTGATGAAAGAGGGTTGCGAGTTAATCTTCGAGATGAACCCACCAYCTGCCAGCCACGCCGGAGGAGTCTGGGAGCGGCWAATTCGCAGTGTGCGAAACGTCCTGAAGCCGCTCCTTTTGGAAGCTGGTCAACAACTAGACGATGAAAGCTTTCGAACGCTGTTGAAGGAAGTTCAAGCCATTGTTAACTCCAGGCCTTTGACAAGTACCAGCTCGCACGATATGGAACCATTGACTCCCAACCATCTGTTGACAATGAAGTCTAAGGTGTTGATGCCTCCTCCAGGTGAGTTCCAGAAAGCTGATCTGTATTGTCGTAAGAGATGGAGGAGGGTACAACACCTAGCTAATGAGTTCTGGAAGAAGTGGAGACGAGAGTATCTACAAACCCTACAAGTACGGCCAAAATGGAACAAACCATCCAGAAACTTACAGGCTGGTGACATCGTCATCATCAAAGATGACAACCTACCAAGATGCGAGTGGAAGCTTGCCAGAGTATTAGAGGCTCTACCAAGTGATGACGGGTTTGTACGCAAGGTACGCCTCGCTGTAGCCACCGCACACCTTGACAACAAAGGCAAGCGCAAGAAGGATCTCACAGTGATGGAACGTCCCGTTCAGAAATTAGTAGTACTCCAACATGCAGAGTGAAGACCGGGATTCCCCATCGAGGGAGCCACAAGATAAGAACTATGAATACATRTTAACATGAACACTTTTTGCAATTGCTAGCACTGTTAGCCATAGTGATTTTATATATATACCTGATTTGAGTGACAGCGGATATCCCACTGTGGGGAGCCATGTGACTGACGTCATGAGTTTTATCGGAAGTGATTATTGAAAGACATATATGTTTACATAGAACAAAGACCAATTGATTCATGTAATAATTTAACAATTAACCTGTCATATGAGTTAAGTAAGTGGACACGAGCCACGTTTAGCATAGTTCAAGTTTGCAAGCAGCTAGACAAGGTATRATTTTACTTGTATTATTATTTTAGGAACTATTGTATTTTCTTTAAGATCTATCGCAATTATTGTATGATTGCATGTATGTACGATTGTCAGTAAGATTAGTTAGCAATTTATTTCATTTGATTTATTATAGTTTTRCGATTGATTTAACGACAAAGATTAAAAGAGATCAAGGGATCTAAAGTGTCTAGTCCGATCGATCCGTAAAATAGCCTAGCCATAACTGCGACAGTTACACCCATACATTTCCTTATAAACCATACACAGGAACCTTGTTTGGGCTGCCTGTGGCTAGAGCTAGCTGGCTATAACGTTACGTGGTACATGATACATAACACCGGAAGTGAGGACAAAATTAACATGAACATAAACCATAGTTAATAGCTAATACAGAGGAAACACATCAAAATAAATAAATAAATAAATAAATAAATAAATGTAAAAAAAGAAAATAAAAAACACAGGGAAAGAAAGTTAGTTTTTAAAAATGAGTTAGTCTATCATAAGGGCTTTCTGAAAAATATATCAAGAATGATATACCGTAATTTGTATATGTAACATATACAGTATGAGTGGCCGTGTTGTATCAGATATACAACCACGAGGCGTAGCCGAATGATTGTATATCTGATACCACACGGACAGAAATACTGTATATGATTTATCAAACGTCTAGGTTAGTTCCTCTGTGTTTCACTAAAATTTTCAAAATTAAAGTGAATTTGGCCAAGAAAATCCAACATAAAGTTTATGCAAATGAACACAGTTTTGTATCAGATTTACAACACCCTTCACGGTCGTGATCTCTGTTGTGTTTTCTTCATGAATTATCAATGAGTTTGATTAATATTGTGTATAGATAGGCGTAAAAGCTTTAACAGTTAATTTACATACCAAATAGTGATTTTGTACTTCCAGGGACTGGCATTGCTAAACCAAAGTCAACTAAGGAATATCTGATGGAGAAAATACAGTATGCATATCTTACCATTAGCAGCTTATTCTATTGAATTGTCATTGAGTGATATATAGAGGATATTACATGGGCGCGCGGAGATACAAATTTTATCTCATGAGTGAGATGTCTAAATTGAACACGAGAAGATAAAATTCGTATCTTCAAGCGGCCATGTAATGTTCTGTTTATTATATAGATATCAATGAAACTTAAATAAAACAAAAGCTCAAAAATTCTTTATTAAAATA